GGGGGAGGACAGTAGGTCCCCCCCCTTATTGTTTTATTAGGGCCCCCACCCACCGCTCAGGGGTGGGGGCCAGGGGAGGGAGGACAGTAGGTCCCCCCCCCCCTTATTGTTTTATTAGGGCCCCCACCCACCGCGCAGGGGTGGGGGCCAGGTTTTAGGGCCCCCACGGGCATGGGGGGAGTGGGGGGGTTATTAGTTTTTTGTTTGTTTTTTTACAGTGAGCAGCTATACGCTGCTCACTGCTTACTACACATGCCCCTACTCGCGGTATAGCGAGTAGGGGCATTTAAGTTACTAATACTAAGTAATCTTTACTTAGTATTAGTAAATTTGGCTGAAAGACCAATTTAGGTCTTTCAGCCTTTTAGTAGATAGCTCCCTGATACCGTGGGAATTAGGGAGTTATCTACTAAACGGCTGCAAGATGCAGCCACAGCAATGAATAGGATCAGAGTTTCATTCATTAGAATGAAATTCTGATTCGAATAAAGTGCCGAATTGCGTTCTAAAAGAAACGAACAGACTGTTGTCATTCAGTTAGAACGCAATTCGGCAGTTTAGTGTAAAGTGACAGGAAGCATTGTGGGAACACAGAGGAAAGGTAAGGATCATGGGAAAATTGCTCTGACCAGCGGAAATGAAGCACACTTTGCTCCTCCGCTGGTCAGAGCTGGTCAAGCGGAGGAATCCTCCATAAGGCAAAGAGTCCCTACTTTGTCTTATGATTTTAAAGAAAACTAAAGAAGACAGGAAGAAAAGAAGAACAGATCCTGAGAGAGGAGGAGAAGAGGAAGAGATTGAGGAAAGGTAAGTTCGGCATGACAGTGCCGCTTTAAGTAGATAAGTTAAAATTACCTTTCCTTTTTATACCCTGTCTTTTTTTCCTTTTTTGTAAATGTATTCCTCCTCTACTTCCCCTTCTTCCAAATTCCTTCTCCTTTTTCCAGGAGTTTCCCAATTTAATGGGCTGTCTTTGAATCTGGCAAATAAGGCCCCAGGGGGGCATGTGATCGCTTTCAAAGAACGATCACATGGTCCCCTATAGCTGGCTGTGGATCTGCCAGCAGGGGGACTGACTAAAATGTCATACAGTCCCCCTGCTGGTGGCAAAGTAAAAAAAAAAGAATTAGACATGTGTAAAATTAAAATAAATGTATTTTTATATATAATAGACATATATCTATTATATATATATATATATATATATAATATATATACATATTATATATATGTAACGTCATACAAAGTGTATTTTAATATTAATATAAGTACATATATTAGTATTAAAATACACTTAGAATGACGTTACATATATATAATATGTATATATATATATATATATATATTATATATATAATAGATATATACACATATATATATATATATATATATATACGTCCCAGGTCCCAGCACTCAATGCTCCCGGTCTTTTAATGCTCCGGTGCTGTCTCCAACCAAATTGTATACGATACCAGTAGAGAGCACTCAGGAGTCTTTCAAGATAAATTTTATCTGTTGCTTTATTGAGCAATTACAAATTCACACAATGTTCCAGTCGACGTTTCAGTCTGTAAAAGGTCTGTAAAAGGTTTTAAAACACTAATATTTGTATTTAGCGAAGTCTCCTGAGAATAACAGTACCCCCCATGTACAGGTTTTATGGTGTTTTGGAAAGTTAAAGAGGAAGTCATACAATAAAATCCTGAAATTAAATCCTGAAAATTAAATCATACAATCAAATCAAATCTTAAAAACATATCACAAGATCAAATACAAGTCAAAGTATATATCCCACAACCACCCATATATAACAGGAGGCAGTGGTACTCTGTACAGTCGGCAGAGCAGCAAAGAAAGAGGAATTAGTTGGTTGAGAGAAGCCTTTTATGGATTTTGAGTTTTTTGTCTCTGGTGTTTTTCTCTATATATTAATGTGCTGCTGTGGAGTTCTAGTAAAGAGAGACTTAAGCAAATATGAAGCCTCCTGTTATGTTATAAAATTATTTTTCAAATATCTCTATAGAGAAGGAGAGTCCTTATATCTATGTGGTAGCTGCTGTAATACTACTTCTGTTAAATTATCTTAAAGCGCCTATCTTTGCACACATATGTCTATTATTTCTTAGTATAAGTTATTTTACTCTCTTATTGTGTGCGTGCTGCTTACTAAAAATGTCTCTATTTGAGAATAGATCCAAGAATGGTAAAGACACAGATGCATTATTTGGCAGTCAAGTAACATCCAATAATGTTAACAATCAAGATATGAGAACAAAAACGAGGAATTCAAAATACAAATTAGAAAAAATGCTAGGAAGGGAAATAAAAATCCAGTGGGAAATAGCCACATGGACAAATATTCAAGGGAAAAGATCACATAAAGAGGTCTTAGGTTCTCAAAAAATCCCTCTTTCAACCAAGAAGAGGATGATTTTTTTAAGGAATGGACAGACCTCTTGGAGAGCTTCTCCT